TGGAGTGGTTGGTGTATTCCATACTTCTAGCGATTGGATTTCACTCAAAACTCACCAAATGACTCCTCCCACCATATTACACTACAAGAAAAATGCCCATTTGCGACAAATATTTGCGACGGTCGACGCGACCCTCGCAAATACATGTAATTTAACGCGCGGGTGATTCGCGCCAAAATAATTGCGACACTTTAACTAGTAACGTCGCATCTCCCATCGCAAATAGGTTTGGAAGTGTTAAATTTGCGACGTTACTTGATTGCCGTCGTATATCTCCTCTTAGGATGTGAGACAAACCGTCAAAACTCAAAATTTTGAGAAAGCGCTCAGTTTCCCGCACGAAATAAAAAACCCCAATATATTCTGATTAGTCATAGCCCCAAATCAATACTCTTCTGCTTTTGATTACTCTTAGCCCCAAATCAACCCAAAAACGCCAAAGATCACAACAACAATCTGTTGGTTCAGTTCTTCTCTTATTGGCGCTCGGGCTCCCGTCTCGGGGGATCCCATCGTTGGTTTGGTTGGTTGCACGAAGGGATATCTGATCTGAACAACTGCGTAAGCCGTAGAGCGCGTAAGCTTCCTCTATCTCTATCTTCTTCATTCTCTGTCTCTCCCTCCCTCTATCAGTCTCTCTATTTTGGCTTCTCTAATTTATTTGTGTTTTGAATTTCATGTATTGCTGGAAAAATTCTAGGTTTTCAGCCAATTCTAACTTAATCAACAACTTCTATATTTTGGGAACCCTTCCTCCTCTTATCAAGGTATGTATTTGCTGTGGATTTTGTTCTCAATTTTGTTTTCATTAATTTTATGCTTTTCCCAACCCTTAGTTTACACTAGAAGCCGAGAGATTCAGCTTTTTGCATCTGATAACTCTGCTTGCCCCAAAAATATATTAGGATCATATATATATATATATATATATATATATATATATATTACCTGATGTAGAAGAAGCATGTTTCTGTTGGTCTTTAATTTCTTGATGCGGCAATTCAGTGAAACAATTATCGAAATATATGAACCATTTTTATTACCTGATAGCTTCTATTGGCGTTGTTTTCTTTTGTTTTTGGTTTGGCTGAAACTTTAAAGTTCTTTTTTTTCTTGATTGTGGCTGTTCATGGTTCATGGGTCCCCTGTTGTTTTACACGAAACTACTAGAAACTTTGCCCCAAATATTCTATGTTTATAATTGTGTGAATAGGCTAGGATTTATGATAATAATGAGTCTTTGAATCTGACCACAGTTTGGTTTGAAGTTGGCATACTAATAGGGAACTTGATTTGTTTTGTCCACAGTTATATAAAAAAGAAAGTGTTTTGTTTTGTTAAGGTTGTTTTTATTATTTCAATTAGTATTCATGATTTGTTTTTATTAGACAAGACAATTAGAATCATCCCAATCTGTCTTTCTTATTGCAGATTCAAAGATTTCAATAAAGAATTGTTCGTGAGAACGATAGCTGTGGTTTACATTGATATAAAAAGCTTAAATTTTAGAAGGTCAGATTGCCTATCTCCCACAACTTTATGTTTCTACAAATATTATTTTCTAGTATTGATTGGTAGGTATTATTTCTTCTTTCTGCTTGGATAACAAATAGAAAAGAATGGACAAGAGTTGGATAGATATGCGAGATCGAACATCTACACAATATCTCACTGGAGTTGAGAATTTTTTGGATTTTGCATTTTCAAAAAATATGGATGATACAAGGATTTATTGTCCATGTAAGAAATGTCACAATCGTTATTTGTTCACAAGGGATGTAGTAAGAGGGCATATAATATGGGATGGGTTTATGTCCAAGTACAAAAATTGGACTCAACATGGGGAACTACAGCTATCATTATATGCAAACCAAGATACTAACGTCACTTTTGATTCGGTTGTTGGTGATGATATGATTGGAATGATACATGACGCATTTGGGCATCCAAATGCATATTCTATTTTCGGGAATGATAGACCAACAGAAAATGAACATAGTGAGGGGCTGAATGATGAAGGACCAAATGGTGAAGGGCCGATTGGTGAGGGACCAAATGGTGAGGGGCCGAATGGTGAGGGGCCAAATGGTGAGGGACCAAATGGTGAGGGGCCAAATGATGAAACTAGAAGATATTTGAAATTGTTACAAGATGCAGAACTTCCTTTGTATCCAGGATGCGAAAATTTCACAAAACTATCTTTCATTGTTCGGTTATTACATATGAAAGTTGTTTGTGGATGGACGGACAAGTCAGTGACATTGTTGTTGAGTTTTCTAAAAGAAGCTTTCCCTAATGGAGTAGAACTACCAGACTCTTATTATGAGGCTCAAAAGATAACTGTTGAATTGGATTTCACATACAAGACATGGGATGCATGTCCTAACAATTGTATGTTATTCAGAGATGAGGATGAGAAACTTGAAAAATGTGACATTTGCCAAGAATCTAGATATGAACAGCTGGAAGGTGAGTATGGAAATATTCAGAATTTGGATAGAAAAATACCAGCTAAACAAGCAAGATATTTCCCACTAAAGCGAAGATTACAAAGACTTTTTATGTCTTCTAAAACAGCGTCGCTTATGAAATGGCATACAGAGGAACGTACTAATGATGGTGTGCTAAGGCATCCAGCCGATACAGCTGCATGGAAAACATTTGATGAGAAGAATCCATATTTTGCTAGTGACAGCCGTAATGTTAGGCTTGGTTTAGCTTCAGATGGTTTCAATCCATTTAGAACAATGTCCATAAATCACAGTACATGGCCTGTTGTTCTAATTCCATATAATTTGCCACCATGGATATGCATGAAG